TGTTATACATGGTGATCATACCCCCCTTATGTATTATACATGGAGATCATATCCCCCCTTATGTATTATACATGGTGATCATATCCCCCCTTATGTATTATACATGGAGATCATATCCCCCCTTATGTATTATACATGGAGATCATATCCCCCTTATGTATTATACATGGAGATCATATCCCCCTTATGTATTATACATGGAGATCATATCCCCCCTTATGTATTATACATGGAGATCATATCCCCCTTATGTATTATTATACATGGAGATCATATCCCCCTTATGTATTATACATGGAGATCATATCCCCCCTTATGTATTATACATGGAGATCATATCTCCCCCTTATGTATTATACTTGGAGATCATATCCCCCTTATGTATTATACATGGAGATCATATCCCCCCTTATGTATTATACATGGAGATCATATCCCCCCTTATGTATTATACATGGGGATCATATCCCCCTTATGTATTACACATGGTGATCATATCCCCCCCCCCCTTATGTATTATACATGGAGATCCTATCCCCCCTTATGTATTATACATGGAGATCCTATCCCCCCTTATGTATTATACATGGAGATCATATCCCCCCCTTATGTATTATACATGGTGATCATATCCCCCCTTATGTGTTTATACATGGTGATCATACCCCCCTTATGTATTATACATGGAGATCATATCCCCCCTTATGTATTATACATGGTGATCATATCCCCCCTTATGTATTATACATGGAGATCATATCCCCCCCTTATGTATTATACATGGAGATCATATCCCCCCTTATGTATTATACATGGAGATCATATCCCCCCCCTTATGTATTATACATGGGGATCATATCCCCCCCTTATGTATTATACATGGTGATCATATCCCCCCTTATGTATTATACATGGAGATCATATCCCCCTTATGTATTATACATGGGGATCATATCCCCCCCTTATGTATTATACATGGTGATCATATCCCCCCTTATGTATTATACATGGAGATCATATCCCCCCTTATGTATTATACATGGAGATCATATCCCCCTTATGTATTATACATGGAGATCATATCCCCCCTTATGTATTATACATGGAGATCATATCTCCCCCTTATGTATTATACTTGGAGATCATATCCCCCCTTATGTATTATACATGGAGATCATATCCCCCCCTTATGTATTATACATGGAGATCATATCCCCCCCTTATGTATTATACATGGGGATCATATCCCCCCCTTATGTATTACACATGGTGATCATATCCCCCCTTATGTATTATACATGGAGATCATATCCCCCCTTATGTATTATACATGGAGATCATATCCCCCTTATGTATTATACATGGAGATCATATCCCCCCTTATGTATTATACATGGAGATCATATCTCCCCCTTATGTATTATACATGGAGATCATATCCCCCTTATGTATTATACATGGAGATCATATCCCCCCTTATGTATTATACATGGAGATCATATCCCCCTTATGTATTATACATGGAGATCATATCCCCCCCTTATGTATTATACATGGAGATAATATCCCCCTTATGTATTATACATGGAGATCATATCCCCCCTTATGTATTATACATGGAGATCATATCCCCCCTTATGTATTATACATGGTGATCATATCCCCCCTTATGTATTATACATGGAGATCATATCCCCCCTTATGTATTATACATGGAGATCATATCCCCCCTTATGTATTATACATGGTGATCATATCCCCCCTTATGTATTATACATGGAGATCATATCCCCCTTATGTATTATACATGGAGATCATATCCCCCTTATGTATTATACATGGAGATCATATCCCCCCTTATGTATTTATACATGGAGATCATATCTCCCCCTTATGTATTATACATGGAGATCATATCCCCCTTATGTATTATACATGGAGATCATATCCCCCCTTATGTATTATACATGGAGATCATATCCCCCCTTATGTATTATACATGGAGATCATATCCCCCCTTATGTATTATACATGGCGATCATATCCCCCCTTATGTATTATGCATGGAGATCATATCACCCCTTATGTATTATACATGGAGATCATATCCCCCCTTATGTATTATACATGGAGATCATATCCCCCCTTATATATTATACATGGGGATCATATCCCCCCTTATGTATTATACATGGAGATCATATCCCCCCTTATGTATTATACATGGTGATCATATCCCCCCTTATGTATTATACATGGTGATCATATCCCTCTTATGTATTATACATGGAGATCATATCCCCCCCTTATGTATTATACATGGAGATCATATCCCCCCTTAATCTCCTCTTCTCTAGAGAGAATAATTTCAGTTCCTCTAATATTTCCTCATAGCTGAACTTACTAATGATTTGTACCAGGGGTGGGGGGATGGGGATATCTCTCTCTCTGGAGTCTATATCTCTTTTAATACAAGAGATGATTTTGCTCGCTTTAGAACCTGCAGTTTGGCATTGCATGTCATTATTAAGCTTGTGATCTACCAGAACCCCCAGATCCTTCTCCACCATTGCCCCCCCCAGATCCTTCTCCACCACTGACCCCCCAGTTGTACCCCCCCCTAGTATGTATGATGCATTTATATGCTTAGCTCCCAAGTGCAGAACCTTACATTTATCAACATTAAACCTCATTTGCCAAACAACGTCGTGGTGTCTGTAATCCATACCAGACTCTTATCTAAGCATGCAGCCCAGCAGGTCAGGAAGGGGGGGGGGGGGGGGACGAGCGAATGCCCCCCACCCTCCTGAACCATACCAGGCCACATGCTCTCAACATGAGGAGGGGTGCTTCTGGGGGTCCCCCCCAAAGCACCTTGTCCCCATGTTGATGGGGACAAGGGCCTCTTCCCCACAACCCTGGCCAGTGGTTGTAGGGGTCTGCGGGTGAGGGGCTTATCAGAATCTGGAAACCCCCTTCAGCAAGGGTGCCCTCAGATCCCGCCCCCCCATGTGAATGAGTATGGGGTACATGGTACTGCTACCCATTAACAAAAACAAAAGTGTAGTGTGAAAAAAGACAGGAGACAGTATTTGACAAGTCCTTTATTACAAGAAGAAAAATAAAAGAATGTCCTCCCAAAATAGATCCAACGTCAATCACGATTCCCGCCACCGCCACTACCCAAAAAAAAAAGCTCCACTCCTGACTCTGGCCACCGGCCGTCTGACTGCTCCTCTGGCTTGACAGTTCTTAAATATGTAAGGGGTGGGGACACCCAGGTGGCCCCACCTCTTTGTGACATCATTGGCCCAGCATGCCCGGGTTGATGAAGCCACAAGGGGCGGGGGTCACACACGCGATGTCCCCTGGTGGCCCGGCCCCTTACATATTTAAGGACTGTCAAGCCAGCGGAGCAGTCAGATGGCCGGGAGTCAGCATTGGGAGTGGAGCGTTCTATTGTTTTTTCTTTTTCCAGGTAGCGATGGCTGCGGGCATTGTGATTGATGTTGGGTCTACTTCGGGGGGACATTCTTTTAATAATGGACTTGTCAAAGACTATCTCCTGTTTTTTTTTCACACTACAGGGTTATTTTGTGAATGGGTAGCGGTACCATGTACCCCACTCACATGGGGGGTGGGATCTGGGGGTCGTCTTGCTGAAGGGGGCTTCCAGATTCCAATAAGCCCCCCACAACCTCTGGCCAGGATTGTGCGAAAGAGGCCCTTGTCTCCATCAACATGGAGACAAGGTGCTTTGGGTGGGAGTTCCCTCTGCCCCAAAGCAACCCCCCCATGTTGAGGGCATGTGGCCTGGTATGGTTCAGGAGAAGGGGTGCTCACTTGTCCCACCCCCTTTCCTGACCTGCCGGGCTGCATGCTCGAATAAGAGTATGGTATGGATTTTGGGGGGGACCCCCACACCATTTTTATAACATTTTGTCATGGGGGTTCCCCTCAAAATCCATATCAGACCCGAAGGGCTTGGGATGGATGGAAGGACCCCACAACATTTTTTAAATAATTTATTTAATTGCTGGCAATTCTTTCTTTTACATTCAGCTGTCAGTAGGGAACCCGGCTGACAGCTGGAACATTAATGCTGCATGATTTTCACTACTAAAAGGTGGCATTACTTGATAAGATAGCTCATGCAGTATTTTAGTAGCATTTTTTGTTGAATTCATTTTTTTTTTTTTAGAAACGCAATGTGGTATCCTACTGCATACTCGGATGTGGTAAGATACCGCTTAAAGAATTGTGCCCAGTGAGCCTCTCACCGTGCCCTCTACTGACCCCCGGGCCCTTGGGCAATGTCAAATGGTCAGTCCGCCTCTGATACTGATTGTTCCAAGCCTGTAGACTTTACCTTACACATTAGCCATGTGGGGGGAACTGTGTCAAACGATATTGCAAAATCCAAGTATACCACGCCCACCGCCACCCCTCTGTCCAAGTATACACACATCCACCGCCACCCCTCTGTCCAAGTATACTACGTCCACAGCCACCCCTCTGTCCAAGTATACCACATCCACTGCCACCCCTCTGTCCAAGTATACCATGTCCACCACCACCCCTCTGTCCAAGTATACCACGTCCACAGCCATCCCTCTGTCCAAGTATACCACATCCACAGCCCCCATCTGTCCAAGTATACCACATCCACAGCCCCCCTTTGTCCAAGTATACCACATCCACAGCCCCCATCTGTCCAAGTATACCACATCCACAGCCCCCCTTTGTCCAAGTATACCACGTCCACCGCCACCCCTCTGTCCAAGGTTTTGTTCACCTCCTCAGAATAAGAAATTAGATTTGTTTGACAACTTCTGTCTTTCATGAATCCATGCTGTCTTTTGCTTAACCGCATCCCACCCGCCATATAAGGAAATGACGGGTGCAAGGCGGTTCTCTCATTCTGGGAGGACGTCATTTCAGGGGGGGCACAGCGCGGTGATCGGCAGTGTTCTGTTCCCTCGGACACAGCGGATCACCGATTAACGGAAAGAGCCGAAGACATTGGCTTTGTCATGTGATCAGCTGTGTCCAATCACAGCTGATCACATGTAAATAAGGAAATGCCAGTTATCGGCATTTCTCTCCTCACGAGCTGTCACACTGACAGAGGAGAGGAGAGCCGGTAATCGGGATTACTCAGAGGGGACATCTACACTGATCATCAGGACACTGATGATCAGTGTGCCCTGATGATCAGTGTAGCTCCAACAGTGCCACCTGTCAGTGTCCATCAATGCCAGCTGTCAGTGCTCATCAATGCCACCTGCCAGTGCTACAGTGCACATCAATGCCACATAGCAGTGCCTATCTGAGCTGCCTTTCAGTGCCACTTATCAGTGCCAGTCAGTGCCACCTATCAGTGCTTCCAATCAGTGCCACCTAACAATGCCAGTTAGTGCTCCCTATCAGTGCCAGTCAGTGCTGCCTATCAGTGTCCATCAGTGCTGCCTATCAGTGTTGTCTAACAGTGCCAGTCAGTGCCACCTAAAAGTGCCAGTCAGTACTGCCTATCAGTGCCAGTCAGTGCTGCATATCAGTGCCTCCTATCAGTGCCATATGTGAGTGATGCCTTTCAGTGCCCATTAGTGATGCCTGTCAATGCCCTTCAGTGCCACCTACCAGTGCCTCCTCATCAGTGCCGCCTATCAATGCCCATCAGTTCAGCCTATCAGTGCCCATCAGAGCAGCCTATCAGTGCCCATAACTGCGGCCTCATTAGCACACATCAGTGAAGGAGAAAATCACTTATTTACAACATTTTATAACAGAAACAGAAAAAATTTTTTTTTTTTTCGAAATTTTCAGTGGTTTTTGGTTTGTTTAGCAAAAAAATAAAAACCCTGAGGTGATTAAATACCACCAAAAGAAAGCTCTATCTGTCTCAAAAAAATGATAAAAATTTCATATGGGTACAGTGTCGCGCAATTGTCATTCAAAGTGTGACAGCGCTGAAAGCTGAAAATTGGCATGGGGGGAAGGGGGCATAAGTGTCCTGTAGGAAAGTGGTTAAAATATTTTTTTCCAGCAAGAACTCATCTATGTGGTCTTTTATTAAACTCTCCAGTACCTTCCCAACTATAGATGTTAAACTTCACTGCACCAGTGTAGGGTCTGACAATGGGTCCAAGGATTTAATACTGATACCTAATGGCAGTCAGGGTTCCATTGTCTAGCCTGTAGAGGTCTGTGTGTCCCTCCATGGATATGCCTCCCCAGACCATCACTAACCCACCACCAAAACAGTCATGCTGAACCATGTTACAGGCAGCAGAACGTTCTCCACGGCTTCTCCAGACCCTTTCACGTCTGTCACATGTGCTCAGGGGGAACCTGCTCTCATCTGTGAAAAGCACAGGGTGCCAGTGGTGGACCTGCCAATTCTTGTGTTCATTGGCTGTGACGGGAGTGACTTTTTTTGGGGGTGGGGGGACCCCTGTCTCAGCTCCCCATGTTCCCATTATGTGTAAGTCACCCTGTGCCTGTTAGGGGTACAGGGTGAAATGGTCTAATATGGGTGCAGGGTGATCTATCCTAGTATTGTGTGGACATGTATAGGTGGGGTGTAGGGTTGTTCATTGTTCACTGCCACATGCTGCATCCCATTGTTCTATTGTGTCTTGCTTGCCAGCAAACTATTATGGGATGTATGGGTTTGTGTATTGTCCAGGGGCGGACTGACCATTTGGAAACTCGGGCACTGCCCGAGGGCCCGGGGTTAGTAGGGGGCCCCATGAGATGCCCCTGGTACCTTTTTCATAGGCTTTTTTGAGTTTGGGCAAGGACACAGGGGCCCCATGAGTTGTCCGGGGGCCCAGTCTGCCCCCCCTGTATTGTCTACTGCCACTTGGTGTATCCCATTGTTCTATTGTGTGTCTTGGTTTAATGGGAGGCAGTGTTTTTGGCAGCCCTTCCCCCTGATGGGACGGCCTGCTGATGTGTTTCCTGTTACTGGTTGTATTTCCCCGCCCTGTGCATATATCTTGTGTTTGTGTTAAAATAAAGCAGTTCACTTCCTGTCTTAAGAAGCCTGGTGCTGTCTCGTCCTGTATGGTCAGCGGTGGTGTCCGTGGATCTGTGTTCGGACAGGGAAGCGGGAGTCTAACGGAAATACCCTAGCGCAGTCGGGGTCTGGTTCCGTTACAATGGCAAATACCAATAAAGCTCTATGGTGCCGGGCAGTGAGCACAGGGCCCACTAGAGGATGTTAGGCCCTCAGGCCAACCCCATGAGGTCTGTTTATAAATTGTTTGGTCAGAGACATTCACACCAGTGGCCTGCTGGAGGTCATTTTGTAGGGCTCTGGCAGGGCTCATCCTGTTCCTCTTTGCACAAAGGAGCAGATACCGGTCCTGCTGATGGGTTAAGGACCTTCTATGGCCTTATCCAGCTCTCCTAGAGTAACTGTCTGTCTCATGCAAACTCCTCCATGATCTTGAGACTGTGCTGGGAGGCACAGAAAACTTTCTTTCTAACAATGGCACGTATCGATGTGTCATTCTGGGGGAGTTGGACTGCCTGTGCAACCTCTGTAGGGTCCAGGTATCGCCTAATGCTACCAGTAGGAACACTGACCCTAGCCAAATGCAAAACTAGTGAAAAACGGTCAGAAAAGATGAGTAGAGAAAAAGCACCAGTGACCTCCATCTGTAAAACCATTCCTGTTTTGGGGGTCATCTCATTGTTACCCATCTAGTGCACCTGTTGTTAATTTCATTAACACCAAAGCAGCTGAAACTGATTACTCCCCCCCTCTGCTACTTACCTGACCAGATCAATATCCCAGGAGGTTTCATTGACTTGATGCTATACTCTGATTGCAAAGTCTTCCTTTCATTTTTTTGAGCAGTGTATGATCAGATCTAAATACATACATAATGTCATGCCCATGCCACAAATGAATATATAAGACATACAAGGGGCATTCAAGACAATCCGGGTAGTTTAATTTTACAGGTTTAAAAAGGGATGCTGGCATGGTGGCAGGGGCGGACTGACCATTTGGAAACTCGGGCACTGCCCGAGGGCCCAGGGTCAGTAGGTGGCCCCATGAGATGCCCCTGGTACCTTTTTCATAGGCTTTTGTGAGTTTGGGCAAGGACACAGGGGCCCCATGATCCCCTATTGCCCGGGGCCCCATGAGTTGTCAGTCTGCCCCTGCATGGTGGTACTACACACAGTAGTAAGTGGCAAGTGTGTCCTATTACTGATAGGTGGCACACATGTTGCGGGTCAGTCCAGAGACTGTTAATCAAGATGGCAGACAACAGTGTTAGGTGATGACGTTTCTTGTGAATGAAGACGTAAAACCCAAGGATGTCTTCAGAAGACTCCAAGCACAGTATGGAGATGAGACACTCAGGCACAGTAAGACATTTGAATGGTGTAAACATTTCAAAGATGGCCTTACATCAATCAGTGATGATCCCGACCAACCTTTATTGAGTAAGGAAGCTCACGCACTGTTTGAAGTACTGGACCAGCTGAATTCTGATCAATGTATGGCCAACTTTAGTCAACTGAACCACAAAACAGCTCAAGGAAGGGAAATACATTGCTTGCCCCGAGGTCTGAATTTGTCTGTAAACCAAATAGGCCATGGCTGAGGGTGCTATGGCAACTAAAAGCAGCACACAAAGAAGTCTCTGCTCATCTCCTGTGTAATTGATTTTCAACCATTTGCTGCCCGGCCAATAGCCGTTTGGCGGCTGGCAAAATGATTTAGCTTTCCGTTTGTTGTCCTCCCGCACATGCGCAGTTTTCACGCTTGCAGAGCTGCGCAGCGGCGCGATCTGTCACCGGCCGTGTACCTCGGACACGGCCGATGACAAATCTGAGTATCGGCCCGTTGCCGGTACCATGTGACCTGCTGTGACCAATCACAGCAGGTCACATGACAGTTGTATACAATGGATGGCTTCATTCATGCCATCCATTGTATACTAGTGTCTAGCTGTGAATGGTCACAGCGATCACATGCACATGTCATGTGATTAGCTGTGGCCAAATCACAGCTAAGCACAAAAAAAAAAAAACCTGAATGAATCGATGTCATTCAGGTAAATGCTTGCTTATAGCAAAGTAATTCTTTGCTATAAGCAAATTGTGTAAGAAAAAAAAAATACTGATCACTTCCCCAAAGTAGTAAATGTTACTATGGTAACATTGTACTATTTTGGACATAGTGAAAAATTAAAAACAAAATCTTAAAAAAAGAAAAAAAATGTAATAAAAAATTAAAAATAATAATAATAAAAAAAATATATATATATATATATATATATATATATATATATATATATTTTTTTTTTTTTCATACTGTCACCAGTCAGTGTCCCTGATCACCACCATGCCAGTTATATGATGACGCTGTACTGCACTGGTGACAGTATGTAAAAGAAAACAGTGAAAATATTTTTTTTAATTTTTTCATTTTCTGAAAAATTATGACGAAAAAAATACAACTTCAAAAAACTTGCCATGCCTCTTGTGAAGTACGTTGGACTGTCTACTTTACAAAAAGGGGTCATTTGGGGATATCTGTGCTATTCTGACATTTGGGGGATATCTGTACTGTCCTGACATTTGGGGGATATCTGTCCTGTCCTGACATTTGGGGGATATCTGTCCTGTCCTGACATTTGGGGGATATCTGTACTGTTCTGACATTTGGGGGATATCTGTACTGTCCTGACATTTGGGGGATATCTGTACTGTCCTGACATTTGGGGGATATCTGTACTGTTCTGACATTTGGGGGATATCTGTACTGTCCTGACATTTGGGGGATATCTGTACTGTTCTGACATTTGGGAGATATCTGTACTGTCCTGACATTTGGGGGATATCTGTACTGTCCTGACATTTGGGGGATATCTGTACTGTCCTGACATTTGGGGGACATCTGTACTGTCCTGACATTTGGGGGATATCTGTCCTGTCCTGACATTTGGGGGATATCTGTACTGTTCTGACATTTGGGGGATATCTGTACTGTCCTGACATTTGGGAGATATCTGTACTGTCCTGACATTTGGGGGATATCTGTACTGTCCTGACATTTGGGGGATATCTGTACTATTCTGACATTTGGGGGGATATCTGTCCTGTCCTGACATTTGGGGGATATCTGTACTGTTCTGACATTTGGGGGATATCTGTACTGTCCTGACATTTGGGAGATATCTGTACTGTTCTGACATTTGGGGGATATCTGTACTGTCCTGAAATTTGGGGGATATCTGTACTGTTCTGACATTTGGGGGATATCTGTACTGTTCTGACATTTGGGGGATATCTGTACTGTCCTGACATTTGGGGGATATCTGTACTGTCCTGACATTTGGGGGATATCTTTACCGTCCTGACATTTGGGGGATATCTGTACTGTCCTGACATTTGGGGGATATCTGTACCGTCCTGACATTTGGGGGATATCTATACTGTCCTGACATTTGGGGGATATCTGTACTGT